ACCGGCTGTTTGTGAGTCGGGGTCCGGATGTATGAGTGGGGGTCAGGAAATGCGGGCAAATAGTCGGGAATATAAGCCGACGGCGTCTTCTTCTCTCCCGCTTGAAGTATACGAGGAGTCGACTGTTTGGCCATCACTTGCGGCGATGGTATCGTCACTCGAGTCGATCTCATGGCATATGAGGACAAGTCGTCGATGTTGAGGCCCATCTCGACCAAAGCCATCACCACATCGCCCACCAGTGGTTCCGTGCGACCGCTCAGCTCACAGAAGGCTTGACTACTTCTGCCGATCTCGAAGATGACACTCTGAAGCATCTGCAACAGTGTGTCCAGTGAGGGCTTGTCGGCCATCGAGAACTCATTCTCGTGACAAATGGCACAAACACTAGAGTATAGGACACGTCGTCGCGCAGACACATTGTCTTTAGCGGATCCAACGCTTCCGCAACTCATCTCCATTTGTGTTACTCTTCAGCATTCAGTTCACCACTGAATCCATTAGATGTCAACAATTCAATGCATTCATGCAATCCATCCACAAATTACGTGACAATCAAACCAATTGACAATTTGGCGCTCAATTCAAAGTTAAATTGATCAAGCACAGTTAACATTGTAAACATTACAAATAATGCAAAACATTTGACAAGTTATAGAAACTATCATTTTATTGAATCATTAGTAAAATAAAGTGTCAATAAAGTGATAATAAAATCATTTTTTAGTCTTCTTGTAGAGCCCCTGTTGTTGAGCCAAATCTGCCATCAATTGCTTCACTTTAGTCTTTCTGCGATCGTCTTTAGCTTTAGTCTCCTGAACCCAAGTATTCCGCAAGAAGTTCGAGTCCTTCCTCAGCTCTCTCTGAGCGCCCTTCAGCTCTCTGTTGTACTTCTTCGTCAACTTCTTCTTTGTATTCGTCTTATGACTGCTTTCCTTGTCATCAAACTTGGGTTCAAACATCGGAAGCATAAAAGGTTTGCGTCGCCTCTCATTCAACACCACTTTCGGCGCCTCTTTATTCACTTGAGACACCACTCCATTCAATAACACTATAATCTCTTCATTGAAACAATCATTTTGTGATAATTCACAACATATCGACTTTAGAGGAGCTATTAATTCAGTAAATGAGGGAATAGTTGAATACAAGTCAAACATTTCTTCCACTCGTTTAAGAGTTTCGATGAAAAGCATAGATTTGATGTCATTTTCTTTGAAACGCGAAAAATCGTTCAATGATTTGTCAAAAATATATTTAATGTTAAAAACGGCGGACTTATTGTCAGCCATTTTTTCATTGATCGCAAGAATACAGTTGTGTTTATTCTTGTGTCCAATTTTCACTTCAATTGATTCTTTTTGTTGACACAAATAAAGGACTTTTAAGATTGAGTCAAAAACTTCAGGAATATATACTCCGTTTGCTGTCATTAATAACAATTTAATGATCATTAAAACGGTTGCGATTTCGTTAAATGAGTTGA